CAAAGCCAGGGATGGTGTGATTGAATTATAAGAAGGCTGGGGCATTAAATAAAAATCCAAGATATGGGTGGGAGAGGTTGGCTCAAGCTGGCTCTACTCTAATGGGAGGCAATGTGGGTTGAAAAAACAGTAGAAGAGAGAACATCTCTTTTTCTAACAATTTGCCTCACTTAATAATGGAGATGGACTCATTGTATGTGCATGTGTGTGGACATATGTGCACGTAAAAATGTCTGCCCTCTGTGTTGTAACTCTCTGCAAGGCAACTTTCCCCGGAAAATGGAACAACTCCCCCTGAAGGGGATTTCCCGATTCCTTAACTGTCAGTGGTCCCCAGCGTGACCAGGTGGAACTTCTCAGTGCCGTTTCTTAGTTTCTTGCTTGTGGCTCTTCTGTGTGTCCTTGCCTTCCTCTCTTGTTCACGTCCATCAGTCAAGCAGGCTGACCCTGTCATCTGATGAGGATGTTAAATCCTAGCCATTCCGGCTCTGTGAGGATCGTGTCAGGCAGCAGTGGCAGACTCCCTGTCAGCCGAAGGATGTCAGAAGAACCACGCAGCACCTGCCCATCACTCTCCCAAGCTGGCGCGGCGCCTTTGTCCTTCTTGAGGCTTATCCCGGGGGTGTGTCAGTGAGTGTTCACCAGTCAGTTCCTGGGGCGGGGCAAGAGGCAGAGAAGCTCTGATTTGCTTACTGATTTCCATCCCAAAAACATTCCTGGCTGATTTGGGGTAAGATGGCGTCAGGAGACCCAGAGCTGAGAGGGCATTTGCTTCACTCCTCTGTGTTCATTATTTTTCTGCTTCTGGGCTCCTGGGCTAGAACACCCCAACTGCAATCAGCTTAGGAGAGGAAGGCTTTGTGTTGATTGATAGTTCTTGGGGGGATGCAGTCAGACATGGTGGGGAAGGTGCGGCCACAGCAGCATTAGGTTGGCCTGGCTGTCAGGAAGCAGAAAGAGGACAGGAAATGTGGCCAAGCCATAAAACCTCAAGGTGTATCCTATGACCTATCTCCTCCAGGAAGGCTCTGCCTTCTAAAGGCACCATAGCCTCCCGAAACAGCGCCACCAACTGGGGACCACGTGTTCAGACGTGTGTGCCTGTGGACATTTCTATTCAAACTGCAATGCTCCCTCCCTAGCATTTGCCACACCAATGTTTTAGTCACCAGTAACCATGAGAAACTAGATAAGGAATCAAAGTCTAAAGATATCAAGATGAGTGGGGGTGGGGAGGTGGGGTAAGTACACTTGTGGTGTAGGAGGGTCTTCTGTCTATGTGTTGCTTTCATGGATCAAATAAAGAAAACTGCCTTGGCTTTTTGATAGGGCAGAATATAGATAGGTGGAGTAGACGGAACAGAATGCTGGGAGAAAGAAAGCAGAGTCAGGCAGATGCCGTGGCTCTCCTCTCTGAGACGGATGCTGGTTAGACTCATGCCAGTAAGCCACGGTCAGGTGGCAATACACATTAATGGAGATGGGTTAAACTAATATGTGAGACTTAGCCAATAAGAGGCTAGAACTAATGGGTCAGGCAGTGTTTAAATGAATATAGTTTCCGTGTAATTATTTCAGGTGTAAACTAGTCGGGCGGCCGGGCTCCGGGAATGCAGCCCGCTGCTCCTTTTACTACACACTTGCTGTGCAGTCCTGAGCATCTGTAGTCAAATCCTCAGAACCCGTGTAAAAAGCTAGGAGTGGCTGCATGCCCAAGTAGAGGCAGGGGGATTGCTAGAGGGGTGTCACTGACAACCAGCCCAGCCCGAGCTTCAGTGAGAGACCCTGTCGCAAGGGAATAGGTGGAAAGTGCCAGAGCAAAGCATCCTATGTCCTCCCTTGCCATCTATGTATGTGCGTGGGCATCACACTCACATGTACACAAATGTGCACACATCACACACACACACGCACACATATTCACACACATGCACACACATTCACACACAACACTCATGAACATACTCCCACACATGCACACA